ATCGAGGCATGGGCGTGTACGATACAGCTACTGTCACTAATGGATATTTGTAAGCAGTGTGGGAAAATATGTACATAATTAACCGCATGTGTTGGTGAGAATGGAAAAGTTCTGAGGAAATTTTGGGAAATTCTCATTGGTTTCTGTACACTTGTCGGAATCCCTATGTAAACTTGTATATTCGATGAAGAAACTCCGGAAACAGTTGAGGAGAGCTAACTTATATTCCCGCAACACTGTTTGCCGTAGTCGCAGTAGTAGTAGTAATTGCCATTCTGATTTTCAGGTGGAATTTCTCGATTCACTGTGATCGTTTCCTAGAGTCAGCACGCAAGGCAGGGATTAAGTCCAAGTGGAGTAGGGATGATATTTACAGCATAGTAGAGCAGCTAGTTGCCGTCACTAAATTGAGAGAGGCCACGGTGAGTATTATGGTGAATCTTTTACTATATAAGATTCAAAACAGGTCCGGTTGTGGATGACGTCTGGTCCTTCTGGGGCATTTGGTATCAACCCTGAGAAATGCGTCGAGCCCTGCTTGTGATCCTTACCCCTACTTAATCGTTGAACATTCTTTCCCAACAGATACATAGTCGTTTTCCCATCAGCATATGTTAACACTGATAAACCCGATGCCAAAATTCAAGTACCTGCTGATGCCGTTGAGGAAGTGACCGTATCGTCGGACGTTGGTGAGTGCTCGGATGCTCTATCACTCGATGTCTTTAATCTCAATTAGTTCCATTCAAGCCGCCAATGCTCGCATCGTGCAAGTCTAATAATTACCTCTTGAACGCTCATCTTTTTATGGAAGCGCAAAAACAGGGAGGTCAGCGGCTCGACTCGGTTTTAATTTGGGGAGAATTAATGATTTTTAGGTCACTTTGGCATTTGGGTTGATGAGAAGGGCGTTGTGAAGGAGTCTTGTACGATGAGTGTGGTGATGATGACGAAGAAGGGTGAGGTCGTTGGGCCTGCTTTTGATGGTGGAATTTTGAAGGGCACGACTATGAGGAGAATCTTCGAGATCTGTGCTGGTAAGAAGAGGTGTGAACGATTATTTCGGAGTTTTTTACGCAGCTCAAAACCCGCCTATTCCGGTTGTCCAGCGTGAAATTAAGAAGGAAGAACTATACGATGCCAAGGAGGTGATCATGTGTGGTGGTGACACTCACATCGTTGCTGCTATTAAACTAGACGGCCACCAGGTGAGAGCATCTTGTGTTGATAATGAGTTTTATTAGAGTGAATCATCAGATTGGTGATGGTAAGAAGGGATCCTTCTGTGAACTAATATGCGATGGTATGAGTGAGGAAATGGCCACTGGAAAGGGAAGGAAGCCTGAGGACTATGTGCCCATTAGGTACGATCCCTTGTCGACGTCTGCTTCTATTGATGATATCATTTAGGTACAAC